TGGGTTTTCCTCTGCACTCCCTCCCAGCCTATGGGGCCTTGCACTGAGGATACACCAACTCGGATCATACCAGCTGCTGTCCTTTATACACTTTCTATCTCCAGTACCTGGCATTATGTTTTATGGCACACATGGCCTGGCCCAACAAAGTGACATGTATGTCAGATCCGGCCCACATAACAAATGAGTTTGACACCTTTGAATAAAATGGTACAACATTGAACTTGTTTGAGGTGACTTACAAAATAACAGAGAACTTTTTTGAGGTGACTTAAAAAATAAGGCATAATAAAATCATAGAACAGCATGGTGAAAATTGATAAAAAATAAACAATTAACCAACCAGTCATTAAAACCCAGTCAGAGCAAAATGTTTGGCAGCATAAAATGGTTCACATAAGACAGTTCTTAGGCTGGGTAAAGTGATTTTTTAAAAGATGACTCTTAAAAGCCTAGGTGTTAAAAAATGGGCTGATGACTAAGAATAGAGAAGGGCTTTCCACAGCTCTGTCCCTGATCACCCTCCACCTCATCTTTTCAGGTTGGAAGTGAAGGGACCAGAATTTGAGATGAAGAGTTTAGCTGGCAGGCGGGATAGTATGGGAGGAGGTGTCCTTCAAGTATCCTGGGCCTAATCTGTTTTAGGCATTGAAGGAAAGAACCAACTCTTTGGATTGTGCCTGGAGACAGCTGGGAAGTCAGCGCTATATTAGCATGTCTCTGCATTGGACTTAGTAGCTAGTCTGAGCACTCCTTCAGTGGTAATAATGAACAAATCATGCTAGATATAGTGATCGGCACCATACCAAATGAGTAGATACTTCAACAGTTGTTTTCCATCTTTCATCATCGTGGCTTCTGTGCAGTCCCCCGTGGGACTGCATGATTGCAGGCCAGCCACGGAGAAGCTTCCAAGATGTTCTGAAGGTTCCTAGGCTCTGGAGTGATTCCCTGCCCTCTGTTTATAGAGGTCCCTTTTCCCACCCAATGGGTCACGTGACAGAGGTGGGGTGAGCACTCCTTCTCTCAGTTATCTTCTTGCTGCCATGAGGAGCAGACATGCTTCTAAGCTGTTGCTTCATGGCGCCTCAGGAATAAAACAATGAGTTTTTCCCATGGAAAACAGTGAAGAGTTTCACCTACAAATCGGTAGGATGGCTCTATTTAAGAAATGCAGAGAGTGCAGATCAAAAATGGCCCCAAATGATAATTTCTCATGCCTCCTATATTTGGGAGAGTAGCAAGACTTAAAGCCGCACTTTGGGGGAAAGCTCTAGTTGCCCTGGACCTCTGCATGGAAAAATGGGCCCAAACGGATAAGGGTGCGAGGGCCCATTCGGTGACTTTGGCACCAATACCTTCATTATCAGAGCCGTAAACTCACATTTCCGCCCTGAGATTAGCATTGAAACCACCTCTGAAAAAGGCTAAAAAGAGAATCAAACACTCACAGTACGGCCCAATTGCCATTGCGTCAGTGCTGTTCAGGCTCCCCTCAGAATCAGCGGTCTCCATCCACACAGAATTATAGCTTGCCCACTCAAGGTCATCAATCCTTCCCACCCTGACGATTGGTTTTTCCTCGGAGCCAAGCATCGACATTGACGATCTTCGAATCAAAGTCCCCCTGAGGCCACAATTCGCCAGTGGGACTCAATATCGGCTCATTTTCACATCCAAAGATGCCCTCACCATTGAGAAAGGGTATCAAGGTCCCCAGATTCCTTGGAAGACAAGGTCCTTGAGATGCCTCCCATGGGCCCACCTGCATCACAAGGCAAAGGGCAACCAGATTTACAGCCACCAAATCAGTGGGCTGTCTCAGCAAAATCTATGGGGTCCGTTTCCATTCATAATACCATCACAGTGGGCACAGTGGACACCCCTACAGGCTCCATACCCATGACAACCTGTAAAATATTCCACAAGATTCAGATGGGACCACCAGGATCAATACCACTCTTACGGGGGTTCCCCCCATCATGGTTCTGACTCAGAGGACACACTCTACCAAATTTCAGAAGCAGGCTTGGAGAGCGCTTCAGTGCTGCCATCTGATGATACAGTTGCTGACCCATCCGCTCCCTCTCCAATAGAGGACCTTAAGATATATTCAGACCAGTTGATCCAAATGGTGAAAACCCTGGGGCTAGAGTTTAATGCTTCAGAACCGCAAACGTCCAACCCTATAATGAAGGTTTTATACATTTCCGACTCAGGCCTTGTGCAAGGGATTGCAAGGGATACAGGACATAGCTTTGGCCATCTGGGCTAAACCAACCTCCATACCAGCATCATCAAAGAAGCTGGAAAACCTCTACAGGATAAGGGAGGAAAGCTAATTTTACAGTGGTCATGGGCTGCTACCAAATGTTACTGTGGGAAAAGATGTTACAGTTTCTCAAGTTGCTGCCTGTTGATAAACAAAGTGTGGCTAAGGTCCTTATTGCAGAAAAGCAAAGGAAAACAGCAGCTCAGTGCTGCAAGGCATGGAGCACATTGTAATAGCAGGTCAGTGTCCTCTGGCATTGTCATATAGAGATATCTGCTGGATATGACAGCAAATGGAGGATCTCCCATTTGAAGGTTGAGACCTATTCGGTGACCAAACTGATGCGGTTTTGGATTGGATTAGGAAGAACAAGTTGGCAGCCAAATCCCTGGGCATAACCCATACTTCACTGACACCTTTTAAACAGTGGTACTTTCCAAGGCATACCCAGAGGTATCTCCAATCAAGGCCCTATCGTGCACAGAACTACATATACCAGGCCCCTCCTCCCCTCCAGCAGGGTTTCAGGCCACCTTATACTCAGCAATCCCAGCCCAAGAGGCAGGGTAGACAATGAGGAAGAAACCCTCCCAATCCCCTAGGGACCAGCACTCTAGAAATGCCCCATCCGCCTGACTAGGTTCTGACCATTGGTTTTTTGGATAGGTTATCCAAGTTCTTTTATAAATGGTGCCAAGTTACTGTTGATGGTTGGGCGTTATCTATAATAAAGAAAGGCTTTTTAAAAAATTCAAATAATTACCTCAGCTTCTAGGTTATATGGCTTCCATCACTGCAGTGGTTCCATATGCTCACTTGCGCATAAGGTCATTGCAAAATTGGTTTATAAGGAACAGCAATGGCAGTTCTGAACCTCACTGGAGGAAACTATCTGCCCCAAGAGTCATTGTAAGATCTCTCCTTTGGTGGTCCATATCAGAGAACCTCCTCAAGGAAATTCTTCTCAGGGTCCAATCCCATGGCACCCTCTTCACTGATGCTTCACTCACAAGTTGGGGTGCTCACTGTCCGGAACTAAAGGTGAAAGGGATGTGGACTAAGAAAGAATCCACCCTTCACATTAACCTGTTAAAGTTGAGAGCCATAAAATTGCTCGCACTGCTTTTACAGAGATAATTAGAGGAAGACACATTCTAGTAGCAATGGACAACATCACAGCAAAGTTCTACCTGAACAAGCAGGGAGTCACAGGATCCCTCTGTTTGTGCAGAGAGGCCACTCTTATCTGGCAATGGGCAATAAGGCACAGGGTGCAATTGACAGCTGTTCATATAGCAGGTCTAAACAACACAGTAGCAGACAGCCTAAGCAGGGTCACAAGTACAGAACAAGAGTGGTATGTATCAGACCACTATCTGGCCCCAGTCTTCAAGAAGTGGGGGGTCCCCTAGGTAGACCTATTTTCATCAGTAGACAACAAAAAATGCCATAATTTCTGCTCCAGAGCAGCCACAGGCATAGGTTCTATGGGGAATGCCTTCCAGTGGCAATGGTATGGCCATCTCTTTTATATGTTTTCCCCTGTTGGTGTCCTCCACAGAGTAAGTCTCAAGATAAAGGCAGATTGGTTGTCATGCATCCTTCTAGCCCCAGAAAAGTATGGTTCCCAACACTATGGAAGCTGGCCAGAGGGCAACACATGATATTGCCCCCAGAGGAAGATCTCCTCCACATAGGGCCTGTTTGCCATTATCGGGTAGAATCATTGCACCTGACTGCTTGGCTAATCCTACAGTAGAGGGATTTTCACAGAAAACTCCTGGGGTGGATGAGCTTGCTATTCTTTCATGTGGGATTGCACAGAAGCCCCGACGATGAAAACGGGGTTGCACTTACCTGTAACCGTTGTTCATCGAGTGGTCTTCTATGCTGGTATCCCTCCCTCCTTTCCCCACTGTGGGCTGCCAAACGTGCATGGGCCTCCTCACAGCGGTGAAGGGAACTGAGGAAAGGAGTGCTTGCCCTGCCTCTGTCACATGACCCTTTGGGCAAGAAAAGGGACCTCTATAGACAGAGGGGAGAAGTACTCCAGAGCCTAGAAACATCTTCAGAAAAGCTTGGAAGCTCTTCTCTGTGACTGGCCTAAAATCATGCAGTCCCATGTGTGCCTGCATAGAAACCACTCAATGAGTAACAGTTACAGGTAAGTGCAACTGTGTTTTCTACTTTCAGGAAACCCTCTCCATATCATTGTTTCTGTTGCATAATTTCTAAGTATTGCACAGGATTCTGTGGAGTGTTCTGGAAGCCATGCCCTTACAGTTGTATACTGCAGGAGAAGATTGGAAATGGTGTTCATAATGTCCTTCATGGAAGCCTGGTCACCATTATGGATCTTCTCATATAGGAATCTCTATTGTGGGTGCTTCCTAGGAATTACAGAGCTCCCTAGAACACAGCTTGAAAAATACTGTAGTACTGTGCATGTTGAAGCAAGTGCACAATTACTTTGCACTCTGTCCATTAGCACTAAGTAAATTTGGGCATTTTATGTTCCTAGAATGAGCAAGTTATCAAGGTGAGTCAAACTTTATGGTAAAATGTTTGGGCATGTATCATTATGTATCATTGCTAAAGTGACTTATTATTTTCATTCAACTTTTTTCAAAATGAGGTTTGTAACTCCTTAATGAGAAATGCATATTTGTTATAGTTTTTCAATTGAACCTTAATGAATTAATATATTTTTAAAATATCTGTTTTACAGGAGAAGGTGGAACAGACTGGGCCATCAGTGATAAAGATTTAGAGGTAAATTAGTACAGTGTTACAGACTGCATTTTTTCCTCTTGCTGGCCCTCAAACATTATAAAATTATCTATGTCACACACACAAAAAGTATCTCCTCTAAATATTCGTGTACAAGACATACTAAAACAATTAGTAGTTTATAGAATGTACGTAGAAGTGTTTCACTCAGAATTGTGAAGAGCATATATAAAACTGTATCTGTGATTTTACATCTCTTTTTTATATTTATTTCACATACCATGTATTTTTTCCTGGAGGGTAGTAATTAATGTAATGATAACTTCAATGGCTACCAATTATGTTAGAGTTAAGAACATTACTATAGCAAAGATTGAACTGTAAGGATAGAGATGATTTTAGAAATAAAGAACTTACTTTCACATTGACATTTTTGGTTTATTTAAGTAGAAAGTGGTGGAATAAATTAGTGCTTATTTGGTACTATTGAGACTGTGACCTGGCTTAAATCATGTCTTAACATAAACTTATTCATCTTCAGATGTGGGAAGGGGCAATGGCTTAGTGGGGTAGAGTATCTCCTTGGTATGTAGAAGGGGCCAGGTTCAGTTCCTGGTGTCTCCAGCTCAAAGGACAAAGTGATAAGTGATATGAAAGATCTCCAGCATTGGCTTGGATCTAGGCCTAGTGCATTTACGACTGAATTTCAGAAAGTAAATTTGAAATTTAACAGGAATTTGCGGCCTTTTAGATTTTGCTAGAACAAGGCTGGAGAGTAAGTAATGGGATTCTTTCTGAATTACTTCTACAATTTTCAGGTACTTTTTAGGGTTTGGTTTATCTTCTGTTCCGTGCACCTTGGTGTTTAGTAATGCCGGCCACATGACCACGGAAACGTCTTCGGACAGCGCTGGCTCTTTGGCTTTGAAACGGAGATGAGCACCGCAACCCTAGAGTCGGATTCGACTGGCTTTTGAGCAAGGGAACCTTTACCTTTATCTTCTGTTTTACTTCATAAAATTGTTTTCCAACAGGAGCACTTTAGTTCAGGGTGTCAGATCTTGGCATCGCATCCCAATAACTACTTTGATCATATTGCAGCTGATACTGCAGACACTTATTGCATCGCTGAATCATGTAAATTTGTACCAGCTTTAAATGATATGTAGCTTATGTAAGCATTTGAAGCCAGTCTTTGGCCAGGCAGGCCCGTAGCTAGCGTGGGGCCCACGGGGCCCGGCCCCCCTGCTAGTTTCACGGGCCCCCTCCCTCCCGATCCACTGCTCCCCCCCCCACCCCTGCCGCTGCCTCCAGCATCCCGCAGGTTGCTGGGCATCCGGCTGTTCCGGGAGCGGCTCCGGGAGCGGCTCTGCGGCGGCTTCTCGTCGGGATGGCGAGCGTAGGTGGTGGCGGGCTGGAGCTGCGTCTGCCGTGCTCGCTCGCCTGCCTCCCCCCCACACCGCAAGGCGCCCCACGCAAGAAGCCC